TGAAAAGGGCACCGGAATTGGTTTGAACCGGTGCCGATTTGATGACTTTTTAGTCAACTCAGTTCTTTTCCCTTTTTTTTTGTCCAGTGCCGCTCGGTATTTTGGGTTTCCATCTCGATGTCCACCCCTACTCACTAATCACATATGGAATTCATGTCAAATCCCTAACGTGATCATTCTCTGCTATATGATTCAATTTGATATAGGATTGGAATTGAATGTATTTCCAGATTCTGAGAAATTCCAAATTCTGAAATATATTGGGGTTAAGTTTAGACTACACACAATTTCGAATTTCATGTTGAACGAAATATAATTTAATGACCAAATTAATAGACATATACGGGTTATATCATACAGGATAACAACATTTTAGTACTAGCATATAATAGTTTTTCAAACTTTCAGTATGAATTTTTAATTTTGAGTACAAGGGGAAGGGCTCATTTCCTTGTATAATTAATATATTTGTGTTTAATATTATCTTTCGTTGCTCATGTTTTAATTTTCAAACATTATTTGAATGGGAATTACTCATTTTTCCTTTTGCAATCAAGTTGTCCGAGATTCCTAAAGCAAAGTATATTGATTTAGACTAGGTTATTTCCTGGAAAGTACCTCATGCATAAACATTAATTTACTGTAATATATTGATCTTTCCTCTTTTGGCAAAACTTTACGAAAAAAAAATCTGTTAAAAATAAAGCTTCCTGCTTAAGGCATTATGAGCTACCATTTTTTATTCATTTCATATACAAATGAAGTTCATTAGGGGTTCGTAAGATTTAAGGGTTTAGGAGTTGAAGATGAAGAATTTATGGCTCTATAGACACAAGACCGCACATGAGCTATTCATCAACATTTCAAATTCAATGCAGCATCTCTTCGACCACAAAAGGGAAAGACAAGCCACAATGAGGCAATGCCTCTTAATTAACTTTCTGAAAGCATACGTTGCTTTATCATCATCAATTCCACTTTGTGCTTCTTTAGTTTTTCACTGGCTGCTTGACTTGGTTTTCCTCTCAATCAACTTTGTGTCAATTATTTGTTAGTTGTACTAAATTTCAAATTTGATTTGTAAGGATGTGAGTTCAACACTCCTTTTTTGACGGTATGTATTTCTTTAATGTCAAGAAATCATTTATGCATTAGTTATGGTAGCGCGGCAATCCCTCACAATATGTGGGCTTGTGCATCCCACACATCTATGAGAGGCTGCCGCACTACGATAAGATATGTAAGACTTGCTCCGTTGTGCTAGTGTGACTTGTTGACTAGAGTTGTAAATATTAATTAAGAGTTTTTGTTACATTTTATGTATATTTGACCTATTTGAGCGTGCATAATGAGTAATCAATTACTTTTCTTGTAGCATAATGTGACCTTATATATTTATATCTTCCTATGAAGAAGATTAATATCAGAAAATTCCTAAATACCATTATTTGACATGAGACTTTGTTGTGGTTGAGTTACCATGTTGTATTGATTTGTGGAATCAAAGACTCATTTATACACCACAAAGTTGTGGAAACTTTTCTTCTCTTTTTTCTTTTCCCTCTTTTGTTCTGCAAGTTGCTTTTGCTTTCAACAAAGCGAGCCTTAGTGTGTATATATTCTCTGTGAGAATATGAAGGTAAAGAGTCCCATATTGGAAAGTTGAGAAACCTAGTAAGGGCTTATAAGGAGTTGGGTTACTCCCCCCATTGCCAATTGGTTTTGGGGTGCAACCTCAACTTCCTTCATGGTATCAGAGCGGGTTAGCCCACGCACTACTACAAAAAGTGAAAAAGACGACCAGAAAAAGACGACGGTAGAACAAAAAACCGTCGTTGTTTTAAAAAAGACGACGGTAACAAAAAACCGTCGTGGATAAGTGACTTAAACAACTAAAAAACGGAGGTACTGTTAAATTTTTTTTTATAACGACGCACACAAATAAAAAAGCGTCGTCTTATTAAAAAGGTTTTCTTCAGAGTTAAAATCTGACCAAAAAACAACGACAGCAGGTATGACAAGCGTCGTCTTTTAAAATCAAGTGTCCTTTTTTTGGTAAAGACATTGTTGTTTTGAAAGAACTGTCGTCTATTATATGTAAAGATAACGGTTTTTTTTAAAGAACTGTCGTCTATTATAAGTAAAGATGACAGTTTTTTTTTTAAAAGGGTCGGCTATTATGAAGTAAAGACGACGGTTTTTTTTATAAAAATGGTCGTCTATTATGAAGTAAAGACGGCCCTTTTTATATGAAAAGGGTCGTCTATTATATGTAAAGACGACGGTTTTTTTATAAAAAAAGGGTCGTCTATTATGAAGTAAAGATGACCCTTTTTATATGAAAATGGTCGTCTATTATGAAGTAAAGATGACGGTTTTTTTTTAAAAAGGGTCGTCTATTATATGTAAAGATAACGATTTTTTTTATAAAAAGCGTTGTCTTTTAAAACACGCTAAAAAAAGGCCGCTTAAGTGAATTCACACTCGACAAATTTTCAAATTTTCCCCTGTCTTTGAAAACCTTATCTCTCATTAACAAGCGTCGTCTTTTAAAACACGCTAAAAAAAGGCCACTTAAGTGAATTCGCCCTCGACAAATTTTCAGATTTTCCCCCGTCTCTAAAAACTTTATCTCTCCCTCCTTGAAACCTCATGAGCTCCTCTCTTCTTGAAACCCTCCTGAGCCATCTGAAACACTCCATCTCTCACCTTTCTACTCCTCATACGTACCTACCAGCCATCGACGCCATCGAAGCAGCGACGCCGTCAACGCCATCGACGCACCGACGCCGTCAACGCCATCGTTCTTCGCATCAGTCATCACCAGCCGCCATCGACGCCATATTCACAGTCAACGACGACGATGTCCTTGAAAGCAGATCTAGAGACCTTGCGAGATGGGAAAATCCTAGAACATCATATCTAGTCTTCGATGTCGCCTGAGGTTCGATGACAGATCTCCATCGCGCCTTCTTGGTGAGCTCTCGCCATCCACGTCACAAAAGAAACTCTAAGTTAGTCAAAATGTTCTTCTGTATTTTGTTACAAATGAACTTTTCCTGCATAAGCTTATGCTTCTATAGATGATGCATATTTTTTGTTAGTTAAGATGACAGCAAGATAATGTAATCTTATTGTGGTTTTTGATTGCTCAGGTAAGATGACATGGCAAATATGTGCTGCAGCTTATATCGAGTGCAGCTCAAAGGCCCAGTTGGTGGGCAACTTAGAAGAATATAAGATCCATTTGACCAAGATGACTTAGAACACTACTCCAAGATGACAGCTGAATGTGGAGCACAAGTACAAACTGTGGAAGATACAACAACCATAGGTTAATGCTTTGGATATGGTATTTTGTAATTATAGGTTATAATGTTATAAATATGGTATTTTGTATGGATATAGTGGGAATCAAGATTGGTAAACAATGTAATTACAATTGAATCTTCAAGTTTTATGAAAGAAATAATTTTTTAGGATATCTAAAATGAAATTAGTACATCATTTTTACAGATAATAAACGGCGGTTTTTTGGAACAAAACTGTCTTTTTTAGATTTAATAGACGTCTTTGGATATAATAAACGACGGTTTTTTCAGAAAAAGTGTCGTCTTTACATTAAATATACGACGGTTTTTTCAGAAAAAGTGTCGTCTTTACATTTAATAGACGACGGTTCTATAAAAAAAAGTGTCGTCTTTACATTCAATAGACGACGGTTTTTTCAGAAAAAGTGTCGTCTTTACATGTAATAAACGACGGTTAATTATTGTCGTAGTTTGACTTTCAAAAAGATGACGGTCGATTTAACGACGGTTTGAAAAAGAAAAAGATGACGGCGTTTCCCCGTCGTCTATTTCAATTTTTGTAGTAGTGACGTGTGAAATCCCAACGGCCACACGTGCTCCACGTCACCCAATATGTATTGTCCACGTGTTAGGCTTGAAAATTCGTCACACGTGCGGGTGCATGTGAGAATGTGAAGGTAAAGAGTCCCACGTTGAAAAGTTGAGAAACCTAGCAAGGGCTTATAAGGAGTTGAGCTACTCCCCCATTTCTCAACTTTCCAATGTGGGACTTTTTACCTTCACATTCTCACATTCTCTTCCTCCAAAGTTTATGGTTTATCAAGTCTAGTTCTCAAACTCCCAGCTGCGGGCCATTTATACGCTGCTTTGAATCGAAGAGGAATCTACATTTTCAAGGATGATGAAGAACTTGAGAGGGCAAATCCATTTCACCAGAACTCTTGAAAGCCATTGAAGAGTCCAGTATTTCCGCAATTATTCTTTCAAGAAACTATATGTTTCTTCGACGTGGTGTTTGGATGAGCTTGCGAAGATTGTTGAACACGTGACTGTGTCTAGACTAACAATTTTGCCTGTGTTCTATGACGTGGAACCAACCCATGTAAGAAAGCAGAGTGGAGATTTTGAGAAGGATTTTGCTAAACATGAACAAGTTCTCAAAGATGAAGCAGAAGGGATAAAAAAGTGGAGGGAGGCTTTTGCAAGCAGCATCTCCGGATGTGATATAAAAGATAGGTAATTTTTTTCATCTGAAATTATTCCTTTGTCTCGTTTGATTTATCAGGTGTTATGTTCTAAGAATATTTGCTTTAGCTGTCTGAGTTTTGCAAGCTGGCAGTGGAAGGGTTCACATGAGAATGAACATCTCTACCATAAAATAATTAAAATGTTTAGGAGGCGCATTAATACATTTTTTTTATGTCAAGTTTTCTACCTTTCGGGAGGCAAAAAATAAAAAAAGAGCCAGTCACCACCTTGTAGGAAATTCTGTAAACCATTCTTTCTCAAGTGAAAAAATACAAGGCAGACTTATCGCATATGAAGGACAGACACATAAATGTGATAGTTTCTCCTATCACATAAGGCTGAATGGCTTTGTAGTTCTCCTATCATACTATATATACTTACAATCTCTGATGCACCTTGGTTTTTGTTTACTTTTGATGGACTGGAATAAGTAAGACATTCATGTTCTACCCTTTTTGCAAGTACGAGGCAAAAGTTATTGATGAAATAATCGAAAATATCTCAAGAAAATTGAATCACACATTCTCAACTAGTGATTTCAAGGACTTTGTTGGAATGGATCATGTAAACAAAATTGAATTGTACATGAGTAGAGGGTTGGATGAACATGAAGCTACTGTGATCGGGATTTGTGGGATGTCGGGGATAGGTAAGACAACCATCGCACAAGTTCTTTTTGAAAGAATTCGTAATAAATTTGAAGCTAGCTGTTTCATCCATGATGTTAGAGAGATGTCTGAATGGAAAATTTTGCCTCTTGTGCTAAAGAAACTTTATGGTAACCTTTCCAATACCAAAGTAAGTGTAGAGGATGTTAATGGGGTAAGGAGTAGATTATTGAGTCACAAAAGGGTGCTTATCGTTCTCGACGACATTGATAATTTAAAACAAATTGAAGCTATAGTTGGATGTGGTGCCAGAGGATTGTATGATCGGTTTGGTCAAGGTAGCAGAATCATTGTAACCACAAAAGATAAAAGCCTGCTAAAAGCATATGAGCCAAAAATACACATGGTTGGAAAACTTAACTTTGATGAAGCTCTCATGCTTTTTTCTCGGAGAGCCTTTGGCAGAGACCCTCCTCTTGATGAGTATGTTGATTTGTCCAACCAGTTTGTAGATTACTCTGGTGGTCTTCCTTTGGCGCTAACAGTTTTTGGCTCCTTTCTATTCAGGAGAAGTTTGACTGAATGGTGTAGTGGACATATTAAAAAAGAATCCTGGTGAACAACTTCTTCATACATTGAGAGTAGGATTTGATGGATTAGCATCTTCGGACGAGAAGGATATATTTCTGGACATTGCATGCTTCTTTAAAGGAGAGAGTGTAAAGCATGTGGAAAGGATATTTGAAAGCTGTGATTACTATCCGGATATAAGTATAAGAGTCCTCCTTGAGAAATCTTTACTTATGATTTTTGGAGGAAAGTTGTGGATGCATCATTTACTACAAGAAATGGGCAAGGATATTGTCCGCAAACAATCTCAGCAAGAGCTAGGAAAACGCAGCCGGTTGTGGCTTCATGAAGATACCGTTGAAGTACTTAGCAAGAACGAGGTAATTGAAGCTTAGTACAATAATACACTCCTTAATTATTCATAACTTGTGACTCCACTTGTACTACTAATACTGTAAATATATAATTTCCATAAAACTAATCATTAAAAGTTTTTCAGAAACCAACATCTGAATCTAATGCCTAATTAGTTTCATATTCGCTTTAGCTTTTGACATGTTTCATGTTCACTAGACGAGTGAGTAAATACTAGCTTTTAGAGTCAACTATAGATCACCCCCAAGTTGTTGCCCTATTTTCAGATCAATACATGAACTATTGATGATTTACAATCTTTCTTTATATGTATTTTTAATTAGCTTCTACTTGATATTAACATGTTGCAACGAACTCGTTATTCCTAAATTTATTTGATATTCTTTTTTTTGGTTAGAATATTAACATCAGGATGCAATAGTTCAAGTGTAGTATACGCGTATATCATGCACCTCACCTGATCATTCTGTTGACCTTTGGCTATTAGGGAACAAAATTTGTTGAAGGCATTTTCCTAAGCTCCCCTCAACAATATGACTGTACGGACTTGACCACTGGTCCATTTGTGAGGATGTCCAACTTAAGATTGTTGAAGATCTTCAACGTCAATTTTTCTAGATGCCACGAATCTCTTTCAGATAAGCTACGGCTCTTGGATTGGTATGGATATCCTTTAAAATCGTTACCGTCAAGTTTTAATCCGAAAAAACTGGTTGAACTGCACTTGCCTCAGAGCAGAATAGAAAATTTATGGAACAAAATTAGGGAGGTAAGACTCTCTTCCTTTATTACAATACAAACGTGCATTTTTTATACAAAGCCGAAATTTATATTTCAAGTTCTAAGAGCTCATTATACATTCTTTGATTTATATGGCCCCTTTTATTTGTCTACAGCTTTTGGAAAAGTTGGTGATCATGGACCTTAGCGATTGCGAATACTTGACTAAGACCCTTAATTTCACTGAAATCCCGAAGTTTGAGAGGTTAATTCTTAAAGGTTGTAGAAGATTGTCTGAGGTTCACCCATCAGTTGGAGCTCTCCAAAGACTCATTTTGTTGAACCTAAAGGGTTGTCAAAACCTTGGTAGTCTTCCCCACAAGATCAGCTTGAGGTCTCTCAAAACTTTCATTCTTTCGGGATGTTACAAACTCAAAAGGTTTCCGGAGATTGACGAGACCATGAAACAATTATCGAAACTTCATTTAGATGAGACAGCTATAATAGAGCTACCAACATCAATCAAGTATTTGACTGGCCTGATTTTGCTCAATCTCAAAGATTGCAAGAACCTTTTGAGTCTGCCAGGTGTCATTTGTACTTTAACATCACTTCAAATTCTCAATGTCTCAGGCTGCTCTAAACTCGCGGAGTTGCTGCCAAAGATAGTGTAATTGAGAGAGTTGATAGTGTATAACAAGATAGGTTTTGCAGAGAATTCAAATCTGCCAATTGAGTTTCTTACTTAGTGAAGGGTTAGATATACAAGTATACAAGGTGATTATTAGTTACAAACAATGCACAAGACATGGAGGGAAACATGGAGAGTTTCCATCCCTAAAACAAGGAATATGAAAACAAGGAAAAGTAACAAGGTGGTAGACAAGCCATTTAGGGATGTCTATGTTTTGTCTTTGTCTTTACTAACACTCCCCCTCAAGTTGGTGCAAAGATATCACGCATGCCCAACTTGTCCAGTGAGTCATGGAAAACTTTACTTGATACGGCCTTCGTCAGGATGTCAGCAAGTTGGTTTTCCGAGTTTACAAATGGAAACTTGATTATACCCCTTTCTAGTTTCTCTTTGATGAAGTGTCGATCGACTTCCACATGTTTGGTACGATCGTGTTGTACTGGGTTATGTGCTATCTCGATAGCAGATTTATTGTCACAGTATAAGTTTGTAGCTTTTAATGGTTTAACTCCCAGATCCTTCAGTAATCTCCGTAACCAGAGCAATTCACAAACTCCTTAAGCCATTCCCCTAAATTCTACTTCAGCACTTGATCTAGCCACAACTTTTTGCTTCTTACTTCTCCAAGTGACTAAGTTGCCCCCTACAAATGTAAAATATCTAGAAGTAGAACGTCTATCTGTGATGGATCCTGCCCAATCCGCATCTGTGTATCCTTCTAGGTCCGTATGTGTATGTTTGGAGAACATCAACCCTTTTGCAGGGGCAGCCTTCAAGTACCTCATAATCCGTGTTACTCCATTCATGTGTGCCTCACTTGGTCGGTGCATAAACTAACTCACCATACTCACAGCATAAGCTATATCGGGGTGTGTGTGTGATAGATAGATCAGTCGCCCAACCAACCTTTGATACCTTTCTTTGTTTGTGGGTACTTGATCTGGATACATTCCTAACTTGTGGTTCTGCTCAATAGGTGTGTCAGCTGGCTTGCAATCAAGCATTCCAGTTTCTATTAACAAATCTAACACATATTTTCGTTGGGATAGAAATATGCCATGTTTTGATCTAGCAACTTCTATGCCAAGAAAATATTGTAACTCACCTAATTCCTTCATCTCAAATTCACTAACAAGGAGTTTCTGCAGATTCTTCATTTCTTCATTGTCATTACCGGTAACCACCATATTATCAACATAGATGATAAGGGCCGTAAGTTTGCCACCACGATGCTTTAAGAATAAAGTGTGATCTGAGTTGCTCTGAGTGTACCCAAAGCGCTTCATGGAATCGGTGAATCTTCCAAACCAGGCTCGTGATGATTGCTTTAGCCCATATAATGATTTTCTCAGCTTGCAAACGGTGTTGGGACTGAGTGTCATAGAGATCCCTGGTGGTGGTTCCATATACACTTCTTCTTGTAAGTCCCCGTGAAGAAATGCATTATTTACATCATACTGCAGTAGTGGCCAGTCAAGGTTTGCAGCTAATGACATAAGAACACGTACAGTGTTGATCTTGGCAACAGGTGAAAATGTCTCCTGGTAGTCAATTACATATGTTTGTGTATACCCTTTGGCCACTAATAGAGCTTTGTATCAGTCTATGGATCCATCAGCTTTGTATTTAACAGTGTATATCCACCGACATCCAACTGGTTTCTTCCCTTGTGGTAATTGAACCATTTCCCATGTAGAATTCTTTTCCAGAGCTTCCATTTCAATTGCCATTGCTTCAGCCCATCTAGAATTAGTTATAGCATGCTGCCACTTATTTGGAACACATACAATAGATAATTGATTCACAAACGATGCATATGACTTTGACAATCTATGAGTTGAAACATGGTTATTAATGGGATATTTTGATTTGGAAGTAAGGTCAGGACAATATTGAGGTTTAGGTTTTCCTCTAGTGGTCCTAGGTGGGAGAGTGTATGGTGTAACATTAGGTGGTTCAGGAATTACCTCGAGTGTTTCTTCCTCACGAGACGATTGGTCCGATGGTTGAGAAGGAGGGGTTGTATTTTGTAGTTGATCACAGCAAACATTTGGATTGTCTCCTCCGGGATCGTCACCAAATAAGAACGACAATTTTTCAGTACCTTCATCACTGTCCAAATAGCCATCTTCAAGTTCACAGGGGATCGGCGACCGGTCGCACGATTCTAAGCGACCGGTCGCTTTCGGACAGATTGGTATTTCATCGCTGGAGCCATGAGACCAGTCGCTGAGGTCCGTGCGACCGGTCATTTCCGAATCTGTGCAAAAGCGACCGGTCGTTTCTGGGCTGCAATAGGTCGTTTCTGGACATACTTGAATTTCTTCTTGAACCTTTTCTTCCTTCTCTTCATTCCTCCTCTCCCCCTGAAGAGAAGGGGGCGTAACAGTTTTAAAGTATGATAAATCTTCATGGAATGTGGCATCCATAGTGACAAAGAGCTTGCGAGTAGGAGGATGGTAACACTTGTATCCTTTTTGATTTGATCCATACCCAACGAACGCACAACGAATGGCACAAGGGTCCAGTTTACTTCTTTGATGAGATGGAACATGAGCATATACAACACAACCAAATATGCGAGGAGGCAACTTGAGGACTGTAGGAAGAGAGACGTGACGAGCCAAGGTGTTCAGTGGAGTTTCAAACTTCAAAACACTACTAGGCACTCGATTAATTACATAGACTGCAGAAAGAAGGGCATGTCCCCCATAAGTAGTGAGGGACCGATTTATCCAGCATGTATGCACGAGTAACCTCAAGTAATTGTCGATTCTTTCGCTCTGCGACACCATTTTGTTGTGGAGTAAAAGGTGTGGAGGTTTGATGAATGATGCCGTGGTCTCGAAAAAATTGTTCCAAGACCTTGTTCACATATTCCCCACCATTATCAGACCGGAATACTTTGATGGAGGCTTGGAACTGTGTGGTAATCATAGCATGAAATTCACGGATTGCAGCGGAAACGTCACTTTTATGAGCTAGTAAATATACCCAAGTCATGCGAGTGCAATCATCAATAAATGTAACAAACCATCTTTTGCCATTGGAAGAGACTTTAGCAGGACCCCAAACATCAAAGTGAACCAAATCAAAAGGGAATTCCGTTTTATTATCACTTAAGGGAAAAACAGTTCGATGGCTTTTGGCCAATACACAGGTTTCACACTGAAACTGATGATTATCTAAGCCACGAAACAAAGACGGAAACAAACATTGAAGATAGCCAAGGATGGATGTCCTAGGCGACGATGCCAAAGCCAAATCTGGTGTTGATTGCGAGCTTGTGAGCTGGAACCATGAGTATGAGCTGCCCTTGGTGGTGAAGAGACTGTCAAGGAATACAACCCCCCCTCTTCGTTTACCATGCCCAATCGTCGCGTGAGTCGTGAGGTCCTGAAAAATACAATGGGAAGGATAGAATGTGGCATAACAATTATGTGAGTCAAGTAATTTTCCAACAGACAGCAAATTGCAATTGATGGAGGGAACAAGTAGTGTATGAGATAAAGATAAGGAAAGGGAAAGTGATATAGTTCCTTCACCAGCAACATTAGAAGGAACTTCATTGGCAATAGTGATGTAAGGATGACGAGACTTAGAAAATAATGTGGAAAACATAGTAGAATCAGAAGTCATATGATCAGTGGCACCTGTGTCAATTATCCATGTAGTGGGTCGTGTACCTAATTCGGAGTCGGAGAGTAGGGTGAAAGATGGAGAAGCATCGGTAGTTATAACACATGCTGCCTTGGGTGTTTTGTTGCGGGACTTGAGAGCATCCCACCACTCAGGATAACCATGAAGCTTAAAGCACTTCTCAACAAGATGATTACCACCACAATGAGTGCACTTCTGAGTTCCCTTTGCATCGTCAGTTTTGGGACCCCGGGGGGGAAGTCCGGAGGACGTACGGTGTGGTGGCCGATATGGCTTGACCGCCATTGCACTTCCACCGCCAAGCATGGAAGATTGGCGATTATCTTCTTCTACCACAAGTGCATAAGCTTCAATGACTGCTGGAAGCGGGTTCATAGCAAGAATTCAACTACGAACGGAATCAAAGTTGGGATCGAGTCCTCCCAAAAAATTGTACACACGTTCAACTTCAAGTGCTTGTTGGTGAAGAGCCACATCATCGGGATTGGTATGTTTGTAGGGACGAAGGCTGTCAATTTCCTGTCATATTACGTGTAATTTTTCATAGAAGACATTCACAGGTTCACCACTTTGAGAGGTGGTGACGGACTGACAACGGAGTTGGTACAACTTGGAGCTATTCTGAGTAACAGTGTATGTCTTCCGAGCTGCGTCCCACACCGCATAAGCCGTTGAGCAATGATCAAATAAGGCACGTACATTTTTGGTCATGGAGTTGAGGAGCCATGATTGCACCAAACAGTTGTCTTCATCCCAAACTTCATAGCTAGGATCATCAATGGCAAGGGCAATCTTTTTACCATTAATGAAACCAGCCATACGATGAGCAGTAATGGCCAAGCGAAAACTATGAGACCATGCAGGGTAGTTGGACCCATCCAGCTTATCATGAGTAATTTGAGAGAAGTCATGAGAGGACCGGAGTGGTGGAGTTGTGGAGTCAATCTTGGTGGAGTCGATCTTAGAGGAGTCGGCCGTGGAGTTGATTGTGTCGTTGGTGTCACCCATGATGTAAATAGATTAAGAGAAAAAAACTTAGAACTTCAGCAAACAAGAGCACAAATAGAACTTGGGATCAAGACCAATTTTGAGGCAAGGCAAAGTATGAGATAAGAATGATATAACAGCAAATTATGGGTAAGGATAGGTAGAGATTAGGCAAGAACAAGGTTATGCAGAGGCAACCAAAATCGATTGCTCTGATACCATGCCAAAGATAGTGTAATTGAGAGAGTTGAGAGTGTATAACAAGATAGGTTTTGCAGAGAATTCAAATCTGCCAATTGAATTACTAACTTGGAGAGAGTGATATATACAATT